AACTCCTTAAAACGTGCACGTTTTATTAAAATCGTGCGAGAAAATCTACTCGCTATAATTCACCTGTTTTAAAAACGTACCCCTTTTTAAAATGTATGTCGAGAATAGAGAATCGCTCGCACGTTGCTAAAGCGTATACGTTTTTTGGCAAACGATGGCCGAGGATAGGGCATCAGAAAATTATTTTTGAATGACATTTTTGAGGGACATCAAAAAAAACCATAGTGAGGTACTGAAAAAGGAGAAATTGACATTAAAAGGTACTAAATTTTAATACTAATGCATTAACTTAACTTATGTTTTTTATAAGTACACAAGTTTTTTTTACTTAATTTTCTAATAAAATAAAGCAGAAATAAATTAACTAACTAATTGAAGTATCTATAATACATTTGCATGAATAATATTGATACCGAACAGCTATAGTGCGAGACGTACTGAATGCAGTGTGAAGTCATAAAGTGCGCCGTAGCCAGGCGTCGCCATGCTGGGATCGGAAAAAAAAACCAAAACTTATATGTTCAATAATAAATAATAAACAATGAATTTCAAATTTACAAATAATAAACAAATTTTACGCAATAGATAAGTTATCGTGGAGGTCTGAAATCTCACTCTTAGAACTGTCTCCAAAATTTACTCTTATGATGAGTTCATCAACGTTGTCTTGGAGATTATTAGCGACCCACATTTCTTTTTTCGTTTTTTCTTTGACATGTGCATCGCAATTAAGCTATTTTAAGGTGAAGGGGGAGAAAAAGTCCTTTATATCTCACAAGGAAAGTCAATGTTTAATTATTTAACAAAACATTGAGTGCGACCGGTTTCGAAGTGTCATCACTTCATCTTCAGGCTCGCCTAGTGGAAAGGAGAATATGTGGTGTAAGGTGTGTTAACACTTAGAGCCAACGATATATAAAATAGTAAAAAAGAGAAAACTCACCATACTCTCCATCCACTAGGGAATACTACAAAACAAGTTTCATCAAATGTGTGGTGAAATAAATTGTAAAATGAACAAAGTTTACAAGTAATAAATAGTTAAAAATATTTGAAAAACAAATATTAGTCAATTGAAATAGTAAAATTTAAAATATTCAAGACTATACAAAACAAATCACATACATTAAACAGATTAAAAGATAAGGCTTATTTTAAACAACCTTGTTTTTTCAAAAAACTAACATTTTTGAAAGGAGACCTGTCAAGTTAAGGCCTCTACAGGTGGTGGCAAGTATTAACAAAAAAATTCTTGGGTAAACCCATGACAGGGTATAGGTAATAAGATGTAAACTATGAGTGAAGAAATATTTATTATTTATTATATAAGATTTGGGCCATGAACCAATCACCAAGTGTATGTGATGTTGTAGGAAGAAGAAAGAAGAAGAAATGACTGGGTTAACTGTTGTGAAGCAACTGAAGAATAAAAGAAGAAAAGAAGAAAATGACGGATGTGAAATCACACAATCTGACCTAATCTTTAAACGTGCTCGTTGGTTTCTTATGGGAAAAAAATTACTTACTGAAATGTACCCCTTGCAAGAAAATATGTGAATAGAAATAAAGGGGGAGGTTAAAAAGGAAGTTAGAAAGATTAATTTAGATTAGTGTTGAGAAAACAGGAGGAGTTTCTGACATTATCTGGGCATTTAAGCAACCAACAGGATTTAATTTTAAATTTCTCAATATCTCGAGGCTTTCGAAGCTATTAAGAGTAAATCTATGGTAGGAACTATGTAGGATTTCGAAACCTTCAGTTGAATCGAAGTCGTGATTTGAGTTCAGTAGGTGGTTGGCAAAATGTGAAAAACCTGTTGTATTTTGGTTAAGACAACGCAAATGTTCTTTTAAACGGATCTTGAAATTTCGAAATGTGCGTCCTACATAGAAAGAATGGCAAGATTTACAAGTTAATTTATAAATTCCAGATAAGTCAAAGGGATCTAATTTATCTTTATTATGAACAAATAACTTATGTAATGAGGAGGGGGTTTTGAAAGATACTTTAAAGTGGTCTTTAAGTAAGCTTGCCACTTTATAGGATGCTTTTCCAATAAAGGTAAGAGAAATGTATTTCTTACTGGTGGTTAGTTTATGTACCATATTAGGATTGTTAATATAAACTAAGTTTTGTTGAATTTTATTTTGTTTGTGTTAGCATTTTATCAATAATATCTAGTTCAAAGTTGTGATCTATAGCAATAGTTTTAATTATATTTAGTTCCTTATTAAAGTTTTCCGTAGACAGAGGAACGTTTAATAGCCTCTCTAAGTAGCAATTAAAGGCAGCCAATTTATGTGTTGCTGGATGGTTAGAGGTATTGTCTATAACTGTGCCTGTATGTGTTGGCTTTCTATAGATGTCAAAGTTGAACTTGTTATTATTGTGTGAGATTTTAAGATCTAAGAAGTTAATAGATTTGTTTATTTCAATTTCTAATGTGAATTTAATATTAGAATGTAAGTCATTAATATAAGTCAAGAAGTCATTTAATGAGTCTGGGTTTACCCAAGAATTTTTTGGTTAATACTTGCCACCACCTTTAGAGGCCTTAACTTGACAGGTCTCCTTTCAAAAATGTTAGTTTTTTGAAAAAACAAGGTTGTTTAAAATAAGTCTTATCTTTTAATCTGTTTAATGTATGTGATTTGTTTTGTATAGTCTTGAATATATTTTAAATTTTACTATTTCAATTGACTAATATTTGTTTTTCAAATATTTTTAACTTTTTATTACTTGTAAACTTTGTTCATTTTACAATTTATTTCACCACACATTTGATGAAACTTGTTTTGTAGTATTCCCTAGTGGATGGAGAGTATGGTGAGTTTTCTCTTTTTTACTATTTTATATATCGTTTGCTCTAAGTGTTAACACACCTTACACCACACATTCTCCTTTCCACTAGGCGAGCCTGAAGATGAAGTGATGACACTTCGAAACCGGTCGCACTCAATGTTTTGTTAAATAATTAAACATTGACTTTCCTTATGAGATATAAAGGACTTTTTCTCCCCCTTCACCTTAAAATTACCTCAACTTACACATGGCTACCCCCCTTGTCAACAATTAAGCTAGTTTTGTTCAATGTTCAAATGCTTCATCTATCAATGAACGAACATCCTGTGTCTTCAAATCAAAATTGATCATGGAAAAATAGCACTTTACCTGATTTCATACCATCTTGATCGGGTTAAGTTCGCAATGGTACCGTGGTATCTTTATTTGAAGGGCCGTTTCTGATTGAACTAACAAAACTTATTATTTTTATTTAATGTTATATTTTCTTTCAAAAATTACCTCATATTAAAATAATGTAAAAATTGCCTAATCAATTTACAATAGAAAAAAAAATTTACAAAAAAATTACACAACAATATTTACAGTTATATAAATTAATACAAGACCATTTAACCCTAAACAAATATACATGCCAAACTTACTATCCAATAAGCAAATAGGTGGGATGGTTCGCCATTGTGGTTATTTGCGTAAACAGCGAAGTTTATCCCTTCATATCAAGATAGCGCGGTCGGCCAACATACACTGAAGATGTACGATGGTCGTTTATCAAAAAAATGGACGAAAGCAGTATTAATCAAGCTGTCGCTCGGTGTGGCATTTCATTTATTTTAATTAACTTTATCTGATAGAGGATGCCCAGTTTAATGTTATGGGACCGACTGTGGCTAATGTATTATATGGTTTTTTGTAGATTTTTTGAGTATCGTGCGTGATTGTTTCAAGAGGTATAAAATACCATGCAGGATGTTCAAAAAAATTATGTTTTCCTTAACCGCATACAGTTAACAAGGAATACACCAAAATTATTCAATAGAAATTAATGTTTTAGTAAAAATGGAGAAAATGTAGGTACTTTAGTAAAGTCGGCATATTATACCGGGTGTTAAAATTAAAGTGTTACAGTTAAATACCGCCGAAAATATGCATTTTTAGAAAAAAAAAGTTTCAGACAAAAGTTTTATAGTTTTTTGGGGGAAACATTTTGACTAAATTCATTTTTTTATAGCTAACTATAATATGGCCATATCGAGGTGAACTTTGTTTTTTTAAATGGGAATCCCATTTTTTTCTTACGTATTCTTAAAGTACATAAAAAATAAGAAAGTTTTGCGGGAAATATTTTTTTATTGGACTTTTACTTTTTGAGTAACAGCTACTTGAAAATGTTGCTGCGCGAAAAAAAAGTTGGCCATATTATGGTTAGCTATAAAAAACGATTTTAGCCAAAAGTTTTTCCCTACAAAACTATAAAACTCTGAAACATTTTTTTTTTATATAAACGCTTTAATTTAGAACACCCGGTATAGAATACCGATAATGTAGATACTTAAGTGTTTCTTTAAAGTTTTAAATTAATTAAAATCTGAATTAATATGAGCACTATATTTCGCCTTCAAATGCGCCTCAGGACGACCTCGTTTCATTGATTCGTTGGTCAAGCATTGCTGACATAAAAGACAAAAAGGAATCCGCTCATCGTGGACAGTGGGTATGAACTCAAAATTTAAATATTCCTCCGAATATGAACGAGTTTTTTCCTTGCTTGCACCACTCATTTTACTATGGGCTATAAGAGATAAATATAGATCAAAAATTAAAGTATGTGTTAAAATGATTTTAATGTGACATAGAGTAAACTTATACTAAAAATGCATATTTATTTAAATATATATAACACATTTACTACACTGCCACAGCACAATAATATATTGTTTCCATTTGACAAAATTTTCTGGAAAATTATGCTTCTAAAATTAAAATAAATAAACATAAAATCAAATATCAATTATATCTAGACAACGTATATATTTATTAAATCAACGAGCTTTTACAACAGTTTTGACGGACACTTATTTCAAATTAACACTAACTGAATGCTGTGAAATACTACAGAAGTTGCGATGGGCCATTCAGTTGCGAACAACTGCGTTGTTTAGCGAAATTTTAAAAAGTCCGGGGTTCCCCTCGGAGCACTCGCGTATCGGGGGCAACACTAATCCTCTGTAGTGCGCATGTCATCTGATTTTTATGACCTAACCTAAAAAACAAATGCTTTCTGACATTCTGACTTCTGACTGGACTGGAGTTTAATTTTCTGCATTCGAATTGGAACTCGTTTTTATATTTTTACTTATGACGAGCTTGTTTAGTTAGTTAATAATGGACACAGAAAAAGAAAAACAGTAAGTTCGTATTATTAACATTAACAACAATAACTAAGCATTTTTTGGTAAAGAATTATTTTAACCAGCATTTTATTTTGACACAAAGTGTTCCTAATAAAAGATTAATAATAAAGAGGTTTTTATAAAATTAGGTATATAGTAATTAATTATTCCCTCTTTTGTTTCAGGAATACCACTACCAATTATATTTGCACAATATGTACAAAAACTTTCACCACAAAATCGAACGTTAATCTACATATGAAAAGAATTCATAAACAATTAAAAAAAAATACAAAATTATCATTAAAATGTCCTTTGTGCACAATGCTGCTTGAGAACTACAGTGAATTGGATAAGCATTTGATATCTATTCATAATGAATTTTTTAAACAAGAAAAGTACTCATTTGAAACCATTGAAAAATTTAATGCATGGAAATTGGAAATAGAAAAAGAAACAATATGTTTTTTTAAATTAATGAATTCCCGAAAGGTGAAAGATAGGAAAATTGTAAAATATATTTGCCATCGGTCAGGGACGTACACACCCAGGGTACTGACCAGAAAAAAAGCTTTAAAAGTAAAAGGCAGCAATAAAATTGGGAGCAATTGTCCTGCTAGATTGGTGGTAACCACAAGCCATAATGGCAGCGTCAAAGTTGATTATTTCTCAACTCATATCGGACATGATTTAGAAGTAGGCAGAGTTAATCTTACTTACAATGAACGGCAAAATATAGCAGGAAAACTTCTACAGGGTATTCCTAATCAAAGGATTCTACAAGATATAGGGGATGAATTTAATAGTAAGGACAGATTAAGTTACACTACAGTTCACGATATACATAATATTAAGAGATCCTTTAACATACAATCAAATGTTATATTCCATGAAGAGGATACCACAAGTTTTAATATCCTTATTGAGAAGCTGAGAAACGAAGCCAATAATCCTGTGTTAGCATACAAGCCTTATGGTCTCGAAGACAATATCATAGGAACAAACAACTTTTTTTTAGTGATCATGAATAGTGCCCAAGAGGATATACTGAATAAATATGGAAATGAAATTTTAATGATAGATTCCACACATGGAACGAATCCATACAAGATTCAACTAACAACATTAATGATTGTTGACAGTGATCATGAAGGGTTTCCCGTTGCATTCATGTGGTCAATAACTCAAACAGAAGCAATTTACAATCAGTTTTTTTTGTGTATAAAAATAAAAGTGCCAGAGTTAAAACCCAAAACTTTTATGTCAGATGACAGCAATATCTTTTAAAATGCTTTTGTAAATATATTTATTTTTAAGCCAAACAAAATTTTGTGTGATTGGCATGTCAAAAGAAATCTTAATGAAAATTTGTCAAAAATAAGTAACACAGAAAAAAGAAAAGAAGTAAAGCAAAAAATGAAAATTTTAGTAAATGTTACCACTTTTGAAAAAATTTTAGAATCATTAGTTACCAATTTAAATAATGATCCAGAAACTCAAAAGTATGGACAATACATTGGTACATATTACGCAAATAGGCCAAAACAATGGGCTCATTGTTATCGAAAACAATTTCGTAAAAATACAAATATGTCCCTGGAAAAGTGGCATCATGAAATTAAGCATAACTCAAGAATGAATGGAAAATGTCAGCGAAGACTTGATGTTGGCATCAACAATGTTATGGAATGCCTTCGAATGAAGTTTTTAAAGAGACTTGTATCCATTTCACGTAATAGAGTGCCTTTTAAGTTAAGTGAATTGCGTCGGAGACATAAATTAGCAGAAGGATTTCTAAATGATATCGATATAGTTGAAGAAGTCCCGAATTTAAAGTGGTTTATTTCTTCATTTAAGAACAAATCAAACAAAACTCTATTGGAATACTATGAAGTAAAACTAGAAAATGAAGAAAAATGTAATTGTGTATTTTTTTGCAATGATTGCAAATCATGTTTGCATACATATTCTTGTACTTGCCATGACTTTGCAATTCAGTATAACATGTGCAAACATATCCACATAATTTGCCTAAAATATCCTCGAACATCCACTATCGATGAAAACCTACAGCTACTGTCCAGTGGAGACCTCAACAACAATGCAAGTGATTTGGAACATAATACTATATCTGGTCATCTTCAGGGTCTAGCAGAAGTAAAAAATTTAGATTTGGCAACGGAAAATGTACTTCAGGAACTTGATAATCTTAAAAAGTTAGTAGTTTTAAATGGTACGAATTCTGAAGTAATCTCATACGTCAAGAAAAATGTTTTGACAGTAACAAGAGGAATTCATGCTATAATTAAATCATCGAATACAGTAGATACACCATCTAAATTAATCTCTTCATGCTCAGATCCACATAATAAAAAAATTGAGCATCAAAACCGTAGACTTCCTTCCTTACATAAACTAAAAAAGAAAACAAAAGCCAAAGAAATTCCCAAAGAAACTGAGACAACAGTGTGCAATTTAGTTTTAGGTTAGTTATTTAGAATAATATTTTACCTATATTTTATGTGAAACATATTTTTTATACATTTTTGTTATTTAGTACTTAGTGTCATGATTCCTACTTTTTATTAAATTCAGTTTTCGAAATAAAATTGCAGCTTTTCATCTGTCCATTTTCTGTCTTTTATTTCAAAAGAAGATACCTATTAGGTAAAATTTTTTTCCACCTATATTAGGTATTTTATATGCTCGAGTGGAGGAGTGGACGAGTGAACTTATTTTAGGTTAGTTAAATGAAAACAAACTAAACGCATTGACACAAACACCTCCCACCACAGCAATTACAAAGGATTAGTGTTGTCCCCGATACGCGAGTCCTTGGAGCCTGCCATCTGCCGCATGGAAGTTTACTTGAGACGACTCCAAACACTGAGTTGATATTTTTGTCTCGTCAAGCGAAATTATACCTAATATATATTTACCGAAATTATTTAAGAATTTGCTTTTTTCGTTAAATTTGGCACCGAATTCTAGCATTGCATTTAAGTGGCCCGGAACGAAAGGATTAAACTCGTTGTGTAGTCCATTTTCGAATTGACCCCCTTAACAATCAAATTGCCCCACTGTGGGGCGTAGGCCGCACGTTGGGAAACACTGATTTAGACGGTTTACAATATAAGCCGTATGTAAAACAATTGTCATTTGTAAAATTTGAACGCTGTAAGACTTTCATTACTTCTTAAAAAATTATTGTCTCCCAAAATATACCCGTATTTATAACTAATAAATAGAGGGCGGAATATATGCATCAAAATATAACAAAATATGCGCATATATATGCATCGTTTTTACCAAAAATATGCAGTTATTTTGTCCAATTATGCCTAAATATGCAAATGCATATTTGTTAAAAATACTTAAAAAAAGTAGGGGGTGGGTAGCTCAGTGGTTAGTGCGTTGGCCTGTGGACTTAGGGGTCCCGGGTTCAAATTCCAGCCGGGACGCGATTTTTTAAATTAATTAATTTATTTAAAAATTAATTCTGATGTTTAGCGAATATTTCCACTTGACCATTCACTGTTGGGTTCTAATTAACATTACTGTTCCTAATTTGGTACGCTATCAAAGCCATTACACGAAAAAAAAACAAAAGAAAATATGTAATATAAAAATTTATTTAAAACAAACGAAACACAAAAACTAATAGAAGTTAAGTATAGAATAGTATAAAAATATTAAATAGTAATATTATAATAGGAATTTATAATTAAAAATTTTTTTCTTCTGTCTGTAAAAATATGTTTTAATATAGAAAAGGTCCTTTAAACATCTACCGAAGTAATAGGACAATACCGTAATTTTGGAAGTAATGTACAGGGCCAACGTAAAACATCTTTGGAAAATTTTCCCTCAAAAATGTTTTTCACTTCCCTTATTTCATTGAACCCTTCATTCTTTAATAAAGTTGTATTTAATTTTTTTCTAATCTTAAGGCATATGTCACCAGGAACAATAAAATTTGTTGATTCGATTAAACTTAAATTTTTCTTTTCCAATGAAGTTATTACATCAGGTAAAAAACTAAAATTAACCTTTATAAACACAAGTTGCTTAGGCACAAGGGGATTTTTTAACAATTCTTTACTTTGCACTACACATTGTGAATTGTCTTCTATATCCAAAATTAAATCCTTAATTGCTTCAAAATTTTCTGCATAGAATATAGCTGCTTTAATCCATGTCCCCCATCGCGTAATTACGGGTTCCGGGGGCAAACACACCCCTACCATTCTCTCTTTATACAACTGCACTCTTTTTTCACATTCGAAATTAGCTTGTTAACCAAGGGATATTCTGTTCTCACAGTTTCTGCAACTAAGTTTATTCCATGCAGAAGACAAGTTACGTGGACCATATTTGGATAAAATATTTTTAGGTTTTGCCCTACTTTTATCATATATGGTGCTGCGTCAGACAAAAACACTAAGAACTTCTCTGAGGAATTTGATTTGGTAAAAAAAATTCTGCTAGAGATTGTTGAATAAATCGGGTATTGTTAGTTTTTTCTAACTGTTTTGATGCAATTAAATATGATGTACCTGGTTCATTTTCTTTTAAGGCTCCAATCATAAGATGTACCATATATCTTCCACAAGCATCTGTGCTTTCATCAACAATAATGTAAAAATTGCTATCATCCAGTAAAACTTTAATTTCTTCTATTACATTTATATATATAGCATGTACATTTTTTTTTTGTGAGTGTAGATTCGTCAGGAATGGTTTGATTGCAATATTTTTGTAAAAATTAATCCCTAAAAGATTATGTAGGGAAGTCTCATCTTGAGGACCCAATTACATAACTAGGAAAAACAGAGTTGGAAAACTAATTTAAAAGTAGTGCAGAACTAGATACAGCGAAGGACACAAAAATCGTGCAACAAAGTTTCTATAAAATTAGGAAACCTTAGAAACTCCAACAATCTATTGGATTAGATTTTTAAAATACAATGCTCTTCAGGTTAGAATTTGATGAAGATAAATGTGTACTATTTATAGACTTTAAAATTTCGACAAGATAAAGAGAAGTATACTATATGTAACATTAAAGAAACTGGGAGTAAGCAATAAATTACTAAATATAGTTAAACGAACACTTGAAGAGACAAAATGCTGTTAAAGAACTGAAAATGAAGTAACTGAAAACTTTAAGATACTAAACAATTCCAACCAAACAATAATGACTGATGTGGACCAATTTTAAATAAAAACTATATACAGAATGTTGTGATATTTGGTAGAAAAAATTGATAAAATTTGATATAGGAACATTGAACCCAAAAACTAAATCAAGAACAAAAAAGAGGTAAATAAAACAAGGGTGGTCCTTAAGATCTCACAAGAGTAATTTAATACGACCGGTTTCGAGGAGATCAGATCCTCATCATCAGGTATGGTCTAAAATAGATAGGTAAAAACGAATGAGCTTATAACTAATAAAGTGGGTTTAAAAAATTATAAAAGGTATCAAATATCAAGAACTCACCCGTATTACTCATCTATTTAAGACTAAGCTTAGAGATTATCACGGGGTCGGTGTGATAATCTCTAAGCTTAGTCTTAAATAGATGAGTAATACGGGTGAGTTCTTGATATTTGATACCTTTTATAATTTTTTAAACCCACTTTATTAGTTATGAGCTCATTCGTTTTTACCTATCTATTTTAGACCATACCTGATGATGAGGATCTGATCTCCTCGAAACCGGTCGTATTAAATTACTCTTGTGAGATCTTAAGGACCACCCTTGTCTTATTTACCTCTTTTTTGAACATATAACTCACACATGGCTACCACCTTCAACTTTAATAAATCAAGAACGGCTTTAGATAATTTTTGTTTAGCAACTTGCTCTATAAAGACGATTTTCCACCAAACGGACAGTTGATTGAGGCTATGTTTTGTTTGTGTTTTCTGGAACGTTAAAAACAAACACAAACCTAAAACTCTTGTTTTCTTCATGCGGACTACATTTTTTTCCAGTGTTGTTTTTGTTTTCTGCTCTTTTCCACTGGTTGTTGTGAAAGTCAGAACACATTTTTTTCAATATTTTATTATTTTTTTTTTATTTACTTTTTAAGATAGATCTAAACTGAAAATATATATAAAAGTAGTTTAAAAGATGTATGTGACATTATAGAAACCTAAAAAGGATAATACTTGGACTTATCCTAGTCGCTGGTTCTGATACACATTCTACTAATAAATATATACTTATATAAATTTATTCAGCGTTTCAAAATAAATTACTTATCTATAAAAAATACGTTATTTACTTACCTATACCGATTTGGTACTATAAATTTAGACTACACAATACGACCGTTTCCAGTAAACAGACTCGAGTTTCAAAACACGTCAAAACCTTTTGATGTTACCGCTTCTGACGAGACTCGAGAAACAAAACTCCAACTGTCGCAAAACATGCCAGTCTTGAAAATGTTTATGTAATGTTGCATTTTTGTTTTTTTCGACACGAGTTTGTGTATTGTTTTTGTTTTGTCCGTTTAGTGGAAAACCGCCATAAGAAAGTAACATTTTGACAGAAACTAAAGTGTATACAATTTATCATCAGGCGTGCTCTCAAGGTGACAACTTTTTTCTACTATTTTTTACGTCACTGGAAGAATCTTTTTTTACTCTATTCTTTTGAACTGTGGTTGATGAACATTTTCTCCAGTAGATACACGAAAATCATTTTTGTCAGTTAAATGTTACTAAACTGCATTGTACAAAACGCTTATTAAAAAAAAAAAAATAAATAAAAAAAACAATTCAACAAATAATTGTATTTACTATTTAAAAAAAACGCAAGAAAAGCTGTAAGGATGGCATTACACAAATATAGAGAAAAAAAACTAATTGCATATTTGCACAAATTAATAAAAGAAATATGGCTGCAAGAAAAAATACCGAGTACCTATACGGAACGAAGCTATGGTTGTGAAAACTATAGGGGCATAGTTTTATTAAATGTAGCCTCTAAATTGTTGCTTCATGCATAAAAAACTTATGGATATAAAAGAAGCTGTGGAGAAGCTGTGAGTAAATATCAATGTGGATTTAGAAAAGGAACAATGGTCTTAGATTAAATATTCACACTCGAAAAGATAAATATGTACTACTTATTTATAGACTTATTTCGACAAGATAAAGAGAAATATACTATATGTAACATTAAAGAAACTGGGAGTAAGCAATAAATTACTAAATATAGTTAAACGAACACTTGAAGAGACAAAATGCTGTTAAAGAACTGAAAATGAAGTAACTTAAGGTTACAGAACTAAAGCATGGCCCACCCCTTTTCTTCGGCATTTTTATCTATGTACTCGAATTCACTATGCAAAACGCGAGGATAGACTAGTATAAGAGGACCAGTGTTTGGCATTTATAGACGACATTATTATATCACCAAGTAAACAGGACCTGCGAGACGCATTCTTTTCTTACGACTAGTCCAATGCACAACAGAAATGGAGCTGGATATAAATGAAAATATTGAAATTT